GTTTACTTAGTTTGACAATGTATGTTATACAATGAAGAAGTTTGATCGGAAGTGCAAATTCTTAAGGCACTAAATTTTACATAATGTCTCATATGAATTATGAGTCCGGTAATTTAATTGCCAAGTTCATTCCTAAAATTAGGATTATTTGCGCGTTTTGTGATAAACGAGGCACGGACTTTGACAATTTGAGTATTACATTTTATGTATCATTTTATAATTATATGTGATGCCAGGATTTAAACTCGTTCCTTGTTTCATACTGCAATTAAATAACTGGAATAATATGCTCAAATAAATTTGTATTTTATGCATGGCTGAATAGTCTTTGATAAACAACTGGAGTTCATCTGAAGTCTTAATCGTCGTACTTTATGCAACCATTTATACCAAAATAAATAATTTTAATTCGATAAATGACTGATAATTTAGCACAAAATTTGAGATGATTACATGAATATAAACGAATGAATATATGCAAATGCAAACAGTTAATAGTAATACGACATGTTTGAACGAGGCTGAAATACTTATAAAATAGGTCTCCGTCTAGGTCTCATCTCCGACGACTAGTTAAAATAGTTGACTATAATTATAATCTAGAAATAGACATTACAAAGAGTCTATTGAATGATCAGGAATGCGATTTGCGAAAGAATGGAAGTTAAAAGATGTAAATTATGAAAGAAGAATGCCAAAGAAAGTTTTTCATGTGAATAAACCTTCTAATTTCTAATATATAACCCATTTTGAGGTTTTCTAACCCATTTTGTGAGGGGCCTTAAATTGTTTTTAGGGCTCTCTTTCAAATATGTTCACGGTTCACTCTTGACAAACAGCAGAACAATTTAAGGCATCTTAAAGCTGGTCACAACTCACATTGCCCGACAATCTATAATTTATATGAGGTCCAATCGATTTCTGGAATGTAAAATCAAACGTTCCTCGTTTTTCAGACAAATATAACATTCGGTAACTGTTTTGATGAACGATTAGCGATGGGTTAGTACTACTACGACGGTATTTTGTGAAATGTCACCGAAAAGAAAAAAAAACAGGAAAGAAAAAACAAAACAAAAGCAAAGCACAAACGGCGGCTACAATAACACAGAGCTAATAAACAGAAAATATTGTGACAACCGTCGGCCGGTAGACAACTCTACAGACTGCACTTTAAAAACCACAACTTTATGAATATGTACATGGAAAAAAGGAAGATTAACAGACTATTAGAACCAAATGTTATGATGCAGGTCATATGCTAAATTCGGGACTTCTCCAGCCCTTCCAATTTGATCCGAGTAATTTCTCATGCTAAATCATTGAATGGAAAATTCTACCTCCTATACTAATTGTACTGACCTCATCGAATCGGGATATTGGAAGATGATAATTTAAAAGATGTCGCGAGGTCACGCCTTTCATCGATTAATGTCAAGTAGGGGCCATGAGTATCCGGCTAATTTTCTTGCTATTCAGATTAGTATCATGGCGCTTGCGCGGCGGTATTACGTCACGTGCAATTTATATCATACCATCTGTACTGGTGTAAGCGGACTCACTGGCTCAAGCCTCAACGAACCATGACTGTACTTGATATCAGATTTCTCAAACAAAATACAAATGTTTGAATAATATGATTGATGAGGTCATGTTATGTATCGGAAATTGGAAAAAGGGAAACGAATTTCTCTAAACCATGGGTTCACATCGGGGTTTTATCGAGAAGACAACAACTTGAAATATGCAAATAAAAATGCAGTAATGAATAAGGAGAGCAGCTGAGGGCTCTGGTGAAGGTGCGTACATGTGTGTGTCAGTCTGTTCGTTTGTTTGTTGTTCTGCACGTGTGTGCACTTATATAAGATAAGTTTTTGCATCACTTCGTAGGCATCCAATTCAGTGGCGTATAACGAAGGGCCCCGCTGACCCCACTGTACTGCAACGTTACGCCACTTCTTCTGGCATCAAGTTCTTGGCTGCCATGTATTAACGGTTTTTTGGTTGTTTAGAAACTAAGTTACAAAATCTGGTGAAACGGACCGAACGCTAAAATAAAAAACCACGACTCAGTTTGCGGTGGTGAGAAGGAAACCTCCGGGCTAGTACGGCCCTTCTAATTGTGGCACTAATCTGATAAGATTGATAAAGTTTGTTAGTTCACGGCCTGAAGCGGATCTACTTTATACCACGACCGCGGCTATTAAATAATTGATTTAATTGGAGAACCTGCAAAATATATTATTACAAATGTTCATTATGGGGACTTGTTGATAAATTAGGCTCAGGAAAGAACAAGAACCGGGTCTGAAGCGGGCGTATGAACTTTATCTTAACAGTTTAGCTTATTAGGTTATTTAAAAAGATTAAGTGTGTAATATTTTATTTTGATTAAGTTTTAAACTTGTGGAATTTCACAAGTTAGTTCAGGTCCTCCTTTTTTGGAGTGGAGGAGTGCTGCTACTGACCCAGCACAGCGCTAAGTGTTCAAATTCGATTAGGGACACGATACCTGCATTATTTATCATCGGTTACCTTGGTTACTGCTACAACAGAATGCATCAGAAATGATAAATTATTTCTAGTGTCATGGTAACTTGTGTCCTGGTTTTAGTTCTTGTTTAACTTTAATTTGTTTCTGTTTGACTGGCGTGTGCTCGCATTTTAGGGTTTTCTACTTTTGGTTTGATAAGGCTACAAATTTCTAACCAGATCAGCGATAAGAAAATCAGACGATTAGAGTCACTCAACTTTTTTTCATTTCTACGGCAGTCAGTGACAGCAGTTCTTGTTGTCATGGTGATAGCAGTTGCACATTCTACACTAAGTTTTACTATTATTTTTACTTCTATTCGGTTTACTAAAATCTAAATTACGTTTAATGTGAACTGGACATGACCCCTAATGTTAATGGGACACAATATCGCCATAAAAGGGAACAGTGGAAAGTTCAAGTGGCTTCATTGGATGATTTCTTCGTATTCGGTTTCAGTCTGTTCTTAGCATAATATGTTTTGAAATGCTGTATAATATGAGCAGATTATACTCATGTAAGCCTATTTTCTATTGAAGCGTGAATTTGAATCATAAGAGATGGCCATGAGTTGATGCTCTTGATAAGTACCAGTGGCGTTGTATATGCGGTGAGTGCCAGCTGCTCCCCTGCCACTACACTTTAGGATTGTGAAACTGGTGATCTGCAATCCACCGATTCAATGACGCGAGGGAAACGTTTCATATTCTGCCAATTTGCTGCAATCTTTTGCAGACACATTTCTATTATTCACCTGGATTAACCCCACAATTCGTCTTCCACTAGATCTTTTCTTCGACTGATTTGTCCCGATTGACAAGTTTTCCGTTTTCTGTTGATAATTTGATACATTTAAACGCCCGAATATAGGGGTGATATCTGTACTGGTACTGTACTGGTTATTAGTAAGAAAGGTATGATAAAAAGTTGGGTGGAACTGCTCATGAGCTCAGGGTTAATTGCTTAAAACTGTCGGGACCTTCATTATTGGCCTTTATCCGTACTATTGGCCTTTATCCGCATCGTTGAACTTTATTGTTGGCCTTTATTGTTGAAAAATGGATTCCAGTTTGGGTTTTGATGAATTGTCAATGTTACGTCAATCTCTTGTTTAACAGGATCGCAATTTTACTGGATCCTCCCGAATCTAATAGTATATTAGTTACTGTTCCTGATTAAGAGCCTTATCGCCACCTTGATGCACATTCACAAGTATCTAAAATCATTTTCTTAGAGCCGAGTGACTGACTGGCTCTGGGCCCATCGCATCACAATTACTGGCTCACTGGCTGACTGACTCACTGGCTGACTGACTCACTGGCTGACTGGCTGACTCACTGACTCACTGACTCACTGACTCACTGACTCACTGACTCACTGACTCACTGACTCACTGACTCACTGACTCACTGACTCACTGACTCACTGACTCACTGACTCACTGACTCACTGACTCACTGACTCACTGACTCACTGACTCACTGACTCACTGACTCACTGACTCACTGACTCACTGACTCACTGACTCACTGACTCACTGACTCACTGACTCACTGACTCACTTTTACAAATCTCCGAACAGTGATGTATTGGAGTGGAGTAATTGCGAATATAATCTTCCTGTTACTACTTTAGTGCAGGGATACTGATCACGGGACAGTGTATTAACTTTATATCGGTCTGCCCCTTATTAATTCCGGATGTTTTAAATACCGGTTGCCATCTGGTACCACCCCTGGATCGCTCTGTTGCTAGGATACTTTATTTTTCTTTTGATTACGATAGCAACGTCCTACATTATGGCATGCTCTCTGAGTGTCATTATGCTTATCTTTCGACTGATAAATGATAATGTTATTGATTCATTTTCGGTGATATGTTATTGGACATTTTCGGTGATATGTTATCGATCGGGCATTCAATATTCATTTGACAGTGGTTACCTTTGGCTCGATTGACAATTTTTTAAGTGTTTCTCTGGTTACCATGACAACAACCAGTAATGCCTTTCAATGATCAAAATCATGAGCAGCGTGTTGATTGATCTCTTTTATGAATAGTCCTCCTTTTTCTGTTCCACTGCCTCAATTGTCAGTTTTACAACTGAATACTAGTAGTCAGTACTCCTGTGCCCACACGAGGTTCCATGGTGGTAGATTACTAGCTGGTGGGGGTGATACTGGCGCTCCCTCTCTCTCTCTCACTCTCTCTCTCTCTCTCTCTCTCTCTCTCTCTCTCTCTCTCTCTCTCTCTCTCTCTCTCTCTCTCTCTCTCTCTCTCTCTCTCTCTCTCTCTCTCTCTCTCTCTCTCTCTCTCTCTCTCTCTCTCTCTCTCTCTCTCTCTCTCTCTCTCTCTCTCTCTCTCTCTCTCTCTCTCTCTCTCTCTCTCTCTCTCTCTCTCTCTCTCTCTCTCTCTCTCTCTCTCTCTCTCTCTCTCCATCTCACAGTGTATACACCTCTTGCATGGTAGAAACAGATTGCTAAGCTTGCTAATTCTACAATTCTCTCTCTCTAGCTCTCTCAGTACAGAGGCTGGCGTACTGTTTTCTGCTTGACTTTTCATCTGTTGTTTATTAGTAAGTTTGTAATTTAGTAGTCTTTGTTGTGCTGGATTGGATTTAGTGACCACTAAGAGCTGCGTCCTTGTGATGCAGGAGTGATAAGTGTTAGCTAGTGTTAACTCTGCACAACAGTATAAATCCACTTATTCTCTGTTTTAATAAAGTGCTTGTCGGCTGGACAACTTTTTATATTGCACATGCCTTTACGGATCATTGAATGCTTTATTGTAAACTATCTTCGATTAATTATAGATCGCATTACGTATGTTCATTGTTAAAATAATGCAGTATTTTATGTCTTACGTTGTTTCTCTGTACATTAGGACCAGGAGTGCTGTTTGATATCAGTGAAGAAGTTGGGTTAAGTGGTTGCCATGCCAACCAGGCAACCACCTCGCCGCCTCAACTCCCTTCCACAACTCAACACTCCTAAACAGGGTGAACTAGGTCAGCTCAAATTACCATAATGTCTCTTTCTTTAAAGATTTATTTTTAAGTTCCATAACTAATATTTCGTCTTGATTTTTTTCGCTATTTTCACTATCGATTAAACTTCATATGAGCAAATCCTCAGGAATTTCAATAAAAGGGAATGATATTCTGAAGCGAGGATGTAAGAGTGGGAGTCACTATAACAAACCTCCTCCACCACCTCCCTCCACCTCCCCCCGCATCCAGCTGATAGACGAGGCCCTCTTGAGGGAGCAGCAGAGCAGGGAGTCCAGGAAGGAGTCCCGGGGACCTTCAGAGCAATCCTGGCGACCTGCAAGTGTTGTCCGGAGATTAGGTCAGGATCTTGTAAATATAATATTTCATCTGTGTTCTTATTCTTCTACCGGTTATGAACGTGATTTTAAGTATTAACGTCTTAAACTAAACATTGAAGGTCCAGGTGATGTCGCGGTCCCTTCAGTGGCTGAGAGTACAGCTGATCTTCTGGAACTTACCCGGACAAGGAATGCTCATAGGCAGGAATCAGCGGAAGTCAGCAACATCAAGAACCGTGAGACATTTTCAGAATATGCAGAATATATTTTAACATAGAGTTAATCTTCATTCTTCTCACCCCTTTCCTAGTAATTAATATAATAAACTATGTATACCGAATATTCGCCCTGAATCAGTTAAATAATTGTTCATATTTTTCTTTCGATTTGCAAATTTCTCTTCAGGAGCATTTCTCAACCTAATTGCATCCCAGATCTCACGAATGATTTTGATTGCCTGAACTTTCTGTCTCCATGTCAAGTGTTGTGCAATTAGATTTAATGTGTGTGACCATGTGTAGGTCATTTGTGTCTTAGCATTTTTAAAGCAAGTATGAATAATTTGTGTGATTAAGAAAACTCGTCAGTTGAGCATTCAGGAGTCACTGGACCGATTAGTTGGTAAGTAAGGTGTCAGTTTATCCTGTGTTGTACTAGTGTGTCAGTTTATCATGTGTTGGTAAGTAAGGTGTCAGTTCATGTGTCAGTGATGTAGCATTACAAGGAACTAATGTTTCCTAAAGTATTTGCAGGCATAGTATCAGGAGAACTGTCAGGGCCTCCACCGGTTACAAGAAGTGTGGCTTGCAGTCCTCTGTCGGTAAGTTTAACCAGGTCTTTACAGTAAAACCCCGAGTTTGGGGTAAGTTTAACCAGGTCTTTACAGTAAAACCCCGAGTTTGGGGTAAGTTTAACCAGGTCTTTACAGTAAAACCCCGAGTTTGGGGACTGAAATGCTCGCGGTAAATTGGGGTTTTACTGTAATTAAATAAGATAACATAGGTATCAGCTATAGGAATTTACATTCTAGAACAATGACTATGACAATATTGCGATTTGCGATGCTATTTAATATACACCCATTCCTCAGAATTGGAGCCTGATGTCAGAGGACCTCCTAGAGCACGTGTCCCAGAGAGTGGCCACAGAACAGCAGCTCCCCAGCAGGAGCTCTCTCAAGACATCCCGTCCCTCCACCAGCCACTCTCACACCCCGGCATCACGTGATCACACCCCATCACGTGATCACATAATGAGTCCCCACGCCCTGTCTGTTACCCGCCCTCCCTCCCGGGCGCAGACTGCTTCTAGCATCGTGAGTCTGCTTTATCTCCCGGCCTTTAGATGGCATGATTCCATGGAATGAAAGGTTCAACAATATCAATGGTAAATTAATTTTGAAGGTAAACTTGAATTAATGACTGGACTTTCCGACAGGCGCGGTCTGTTCGTCCCAGAAGTGCGGTGTCGCGTCCCCCGAGTGGTTCCTCATCCAGGAAGCGACCCCACTCCGGCCCGGTAACCCCGGTAACTCCTGGAAACAGGGCTTCTCAACCGAGTAGAGCTTCTTTAGCTAGCAGGGGCAGTCGCCCGGGGAGTGCAAGAAGTGCCAAGACAAAGGAAGCGTTGTCTTACAGAGAATCCTTATCGGAAACCGGGATATCCCTTCCTACTCACGCTGTCGAAAAGCTGGTCTCGTCGTAAGTTTCACTCTTTATTTTCCTTGATATTTTGAAGTTGTGAACCCTGTCCAATTTTAGGAATTTGGTGTATTATTCGATGAAATTGGAATGTCATTTTAGCGAGTACTGTGCGGAAATTTACTAAATGTTGTCAAAATTAGAGCAGTGGAAAGATAAATGTACGTTTATAACTCACGTATCTTGCTAAGCAACCAACATCACAATCGTTCTTTTGATGAAAATTATAAATTATGACACCGTTCCAACTTTTCATCGAAATCAAGGAAATATTGACTTGTCATTTTTGTGGTAGAGTAAATTCCTCAGGTACAACATACATAACAGAAACATTCATAACTCAAGGCATCTTGAAATTGATTTAAAGTCGTACAAATTATATTAAATACTGTCTGGTCACCGTGCGTAGAATGAAAGTATAATGGCTCTTGTACCAATTAAATACCAATTATATACCAATTAAATACAATTAAATACCCCAGGTACGACAAAGTATCCAGAGGATCATGTTCGAGAATGTCTGATGTCAGCTTATTCTCAAACGATACCCAGGATAGCTCACCACTTTACAATGTCATAAGACAGAAGGTAACGATCCATTAGAATATCACACAATATTTAGTTACTTATTTTCTTCAGTGTCGTTCAGAAATGTTCAGATCAGTTTGAATATCGTTTGTAAATAAACTCTCTGCCGTTTTAGTTTTTACTAGTTTATTTACAAAAATCCAGTTTGACCTTCCAAGCATAACAGCTGGTTAACAGGGTTAACAAAGCTTCTCAAAAATGAACTATTGCCACAAATAAACTACTTGATAGAGTCCTACTTTAGAGTCATACTTTAGAGTCCTACTTTAGAGTCCTACTTTAGAGTCATACCTTAGAGTCCTACTTTAGAGTCCTACTTTAGAGTCATACTTTAGAGTCCTACTTTAGAGTCATACTTTAGAGTCCTACTTTAGAGTCCTACTTTAGAGTCCTACTTTAGAGTCATACTTTAGAGTCCTACTTTAGAGTCATACTTTACTTGATAGAGTCCTACTTTAGAGTCTTACTTTAGAGTCCCACTTTAGAGTCCCACTTAAGAGTTCTACTTTAGAGTCCTACTTTAGAGCCCTACTTTAGAGTCCTACTTTAGATTTCTACTTTACTTGATGAAGTCCTACTTTAGAGTCATAATTTAGAGTCCTACTTTAGAGTCCTACTTTAGAGTCATACTTTAGAGTCCTACTTTAGAGTCCTACTTTAGAGTCCTACTTTAGAGTCCTACTTTAGAGTCCTACTTTAGATTTCTACTTTACTTGATAAAGTCCTACTTAAGAGTCATAATTTAGAGTCCTACTTTAGAGTCCTACTTTAGAGTCATACTTTAGAGTCCTACTTTAGAGTCATACTTTACTTGATAGAGTCCTACTTTAGAGACTTACTTTACTTGATAGAGTCCAGGACGCAGCAAGCTGGTCCGGACATTAAATCAGCCAGCTCAGTGATCCCTGGAAGATCAGTCACCACGTGTTCCTCTATATACCGGGCTATCTGCCGGATACTGTCTACCCTACAAACCATTGTCTTAACCAGAGATATCATCGAGGAAACGTCGTATTGTCTTTTGACTACTCTATGGTTACCATAGTTACCATGATGGTCGGTGTTGATCTTGCGTGTTTTTGGGCAGAAATCAGCGATGGTTTCTACTAAGAAATCCGCTTTGGGATAAAGAAATGTCATTATGTAGCATAATCCTTTCTCCGTGTGTTCGCAGGTCCACAATTTAGCAAACCCTAAACAAGTCTTCATGTAAACCTTACTCTTCCGGCCCCAACAGAGCAGCTTCTCTAAAAACCTCTCAAACTCACCCTCCAAACAACCATTGAATTTATCCCTCTTTTCGCTGCTGCCCAAGTTGGAGTTGATTTCCTTAAGCCACGTGATTATTTCTTTCAGGGTTGGTAAGTCGTAATCGCAGACTGTCGCTCTGAAAGTTTTACACAGCGCTTTCAGAGCATGATCTTGGATGTGGTCCGGCCATTTTGGGTCTCCGATACAGAAGTAACTCTTTAAAAGGTTTATGCTCGTCTCCCCATCTATTGTGCCTGAGTGACTGCACGGTGCTTCTTCTATACTGAGTGAGGAAATTGTTAGAACTGCACGGTGCTTCTTCTATACTGAGTGAGGAAATTGTTAGAACTGCACGGTGCTTCTTCTATACTGAGTGAGGAAATTGTTAGAACTGCACGGTGCTTCTTCTATACTGAGTGAGGAAATTGTTAGAACTGCACGGTGCTTCTTCTATACTGAGTGAGGAAATTGTTAGAGCTGCATTTGTCAGATTTTAAATAAATCAAGCGAATATTTAATTGATGTGTGTTATAGTGTTATCTGCCTCGAAACACTAATATTGATAGACTTGCAAATCTGGAAGACTGTGCATACTTACTTAACCAGGAAAAGTATAATGACAAATATTCGACCACGCACAAGCATAGGGACCAGACGTTTATTACAATCACAAACTTTTATATGGAAGAAAAATATTCACTTTTTGTAGTTAAACGTGTTAAGCGGGCAACGTTGTACCGCCCGTGAAAAGTTTCATGACAACAAAAACAGCTGGTGCCCCATCTAAGGCTCATTCTTATTGGTGGTGTTCTGGGGAAGTACCAGCTGGGATGATGTTAACTGTTCTTATCACAAAAGCCAAGTTGTGCCGTAAAACCGAGGTTTCTGTTACTCCAAGTAACTATTCGTGATATTGGCAGCTGGCTACCAACGTAAATCAGCAACCGTAAATTTTATACAAACATTCTATTGTCCAATGTCCATGTGTATTCTGCTATATTTCATTGTAGATTGTAGGCATACAAAATGTGACAAGACCTCCAGCTGATAAAGAGCTTGAGCACCATGAGCAGCTACAACTGGGATTGGCGAGGACAATAATTAAACAGTTAATTTTGATTTTTGAAACAAATAGCAAGTGTGATCAGAGTGGATTCTCTTCTCAGGTTAACGCAGGGTATCTAGACATGGTGAAAGCGTTTGAAGTTTACGATAAAGGAAACCGAGGACTTCTATCCAGAGAAGACTTCAAGCGAGTTTTGAGACATTTCACTGTCGATCTCACCAAATCTCAGATTGAGACCCTACTTCAAAGGTTTGGTTCGAGGCATATTCTTCAATGTGTTTCAGACTTTTCTCATAGTTTAAAATGCTGAACAATTTAAATTTTCGTTTCTTTATCTAAGAATTTAATCCATTCGTTTTCAATGGCCAACTTATTTCCAGATCTGACTTAGTGGACGCGTGGATAATGGACCGAGTACCCTACAAGACCTTCCTCCGCAAGTACATGGAGAGAGGCAGGAGCGGTTACGTGAAGAACTGCTCCGATCGCCCACAGACTGGGGACACTGAGTTCGCGGACATTGCTGAGGCACGACTCTTCGCTCAGCTCCACTCTGACTTTGTGGACGTTCTTGACAATTTCAGGTATTTCGCCGGAGAATTTTGTTAGTAAAAAACGTTTTTTACCTTTTGTAGGCAAGTGATTAATAAATTAAACTCCAAATGTTGCATAACCTTATTTACGCTGCAGAATTTTTTTTATATTATCCAATCCATACTCCGATGTATCTGGGTGGTTACTGGTTGAGGGTCTAATTTGACAGACCAAAAATAATATTACTATTATTACCCATTTTCAGGTCTTTAGATAAAGACGAGACAGGCTGCGTACCGTACTCTGACTTCAAGAATATCATGTCAGACTACGGGTTACAGATTCCAGGTCCACAACATGAGGATGACGTTGTTAATTATGTGGATTATCTCAACTCTGTCGCCCTTCTGTGAGTATCAGTTGATCGTAATTCGTATATTTCTCTTGGTTATCTTTTGTGCGGTCAAAATTTCCAGTGATTGATAGTCATTTCAAAAGGATTTGTCTTTTTCATTTTGATTAAAACTAAAGCGTTAAAATTAAACGCAGTAAAAACTACAGGGTGGCCCAAAAGTGACTACCCACACGCAACCTTTTAATAACTCACGTAATTCGTCTTCAACTTGCACAAAAATTTCAGAGAATATAGATATGGGTCAAACTTAGATTTCCTGAAAGTTTCGTAAGCCACGCCCAATTACAGTGGGCGTGGCGTGACACTCCCTCTTTTTCACTATTGTCCTCATAAAATGAGAACGCTTTAAGCTAAGAACTCCAAATTTTTTGCACACATTTGGCTTGATAATTTAAAACCTTTCCCAAAGTTTCAAGTTCATTGTTAAAAATTTGGCTGAGTTATGACCATTTCAAAATTCATCGGATACGTGATCCGAGCACTCAGTCAGTGATCTCTGCACTTGGTTAATGGCCTGTTTGGCTCACATGCACCGCTTGATTGGTTGCAGGGCTTGTTAGCCCTGCTAGTCACAGGTTCGTTCCTTACAATCGATAAAAAGGAATGAACTATCCATAGAATCATCGAAAATGGTTCACTATCCTCCCTATACTGCGGAACAACGATTGTTTGTCTACCTGAAGAAAGAGAATGGGTTCAGCACTCAGCTTAAACGACAATTTCAAATGAAATTCAACCGACCATCCCCTTGCCGGAAAAGCTGCTTTGATATGCATCACAAGATCAAGTTTACTTTTTCTGCAAACGATCGGCGAAGAGTCGGCAGAAGACGAACTGCGAGGACCGAAGAAAACATCACCATGGTTCTGAGTGGAGTTGGGTTAAAAACATATAAGAGATACGATGATTTAACTTGTAGAAGCTTTCAATAAACATGTGTTAATCGTCGTCACCATGGTTGTTTGTGACGTGATGGATACACCTAAAATTGGCACCCGAAAACGAGCTCCTGCCTTAGACCTCAGCAGAACATCCCTTCAACGAATCCTAAAGTGAGATCTTTCTAACCGGGCCTATCGGATCACAAAGAAACACCAACTTTAAGACCGTGATTCCTGATTTTCCTGAAAAGGTCACGATCTGGTGCGCCATCAGTTCTCGTGGAATCCTAGGACCTTACTTTTACGAAGAATTTGGTGTTTTCCTGTCTATTAAAGTCATTATCGGTATCCAATCAATCATGATCAGGTCGTCATCTCCTCAGTATGTTTGGTAAAGCCTAATGAACCTCATTAATATACGCTAACGCCTTACTCTTGATCAGATTGGGTGGCGAGATCACTGATTGAGTGCAGAGATCACTGAGTGCTCGGATCACGTATCCGATGAATTTTGAAATGGTCATAACTCAGCAAAATTTTGAACAATGAACTTGAAACTTTGGGAAAGGTTTTAAATTATCGAGCCAAATGTGTGCACAAAATTTGGAGTTCTTAGCTTAAAGCGTTCTCATTTTATGAAGACAATAGTGAAAAAGAGGGAGTGTCAAGCCAAGCCCACTGTAATTGGGCGTGGCTTACGAAACTTTCGGGAAATCTAAGTTTGACCCATATCTATATTCTCTGAAATTTTGGTGCAATTTAAAGACGAATTACGTGAGTTATTAAAAGGTTGCGTGTGGGTAGTCACTTTTGGGCCACCCTGTATGTAAATATGGATTTTTCCGTAACTAAAATCTGTTTTTCAGACCTCCGGAAACTCCAGCTACTAAAGAGAAAACACGACCACAGACCGCTCCTCCAGCCATGGTAACTAGCACTACATTACTTTATCAACCATGGTAACTAGCCATGGTAACTAGCACTACATTACTTTATCAGCCATGGTAACTAGCCATGGTAACTAGCACTACATTACTTTATCAGCCAGGTAACTAGCCATGGTAACTAGACTACATTACTTTATCAACCATGGTAACTAGCCATAGTAACTAGCACTACATTACTTTATCAACCATGGTAACTAGCCATGGTAACTAGCACTACATTACTTTATCAACCATGGTAACTAGCCATGGTAACTCCAGCCATGGTAACTAGCCATGGTAACTAGCCATAGTAACTAGCCATGGTAACTAGCACTACATTACTTTATCAGCCATGGTAACTAGCTATGGTAACTCCAGCCATGGTAACTAGACTACATTACTTTATCAGCCATGGTAACTAGCCATGGTAACTAGCACTACATTACTTTATCAGCCATGGTAACTAGCCATGGTAACTAGCCATGGTAACTAGACTACATTACTTTATCAACCATGGTAACTAGCCATGGTAACTCCAGCCACGGTAACTAGACTACATTACTTTATCAGCCATGGTAACTAGCCATAGTAACTAGCACTACATTACTTTATCAGCCATGGTAACTAGCTATGGTAACTCCAGCCATGGTAACTAGACTACATTACTTTATCAGCCATGGTAACTAGCCATGGTAACTAGCACTACATTACTTTATCAGCCATGGTAACTAGCCATGGTAACTAGCCATGGTAACTAGCTATGGTAACTCCAGCCATGGTAACTAGACTACATTACTTTATCAGCCATGGTAACTAGCCATGGTAACTAGCACTACATTACTTTATCAGCCATGGTAACTAGCCATGGTAACTAGCCATGGTAACTAGCTATGGTAACTCCAGCCATGGTAACTAGCACTACATTACTTTATCAGCCATGGTAACTAGCCATGGTAACTCCAGCCATGGTAACTAGCACTACATTACTTTATCAGCCATGGTAACTAGCTATGGTAACTCCAGCCATGGTAACTAGCACTACATTACTTTTTCAGCCATGGTAACTAGCCATGGTAACTCCAGCCATGGTAACTAGACTACATTACTTTATCAGCCATGGTAACTAGCCATGGTAACTAGCACTACATTACTTTATCAGCCATGGTAACTAGCCATGGTAACTAGCCATGGTAACTAGCTATGGTAACTCCAGCCATGGTAACTAGACTACATTACTTTATCAGCCATGGTAACTAGCCATGGTAACTAGCACTACATTACTTTATCAACCATGGTAACTAGCCATGGTAACTAGCCATAGTAACTAGCCATGGTAACTAGCACTACATTACTTTATCAGCCATGGTAACTAGCCATGGTAACTCCAGCCATGGTAACTAGCACTACATTACTTTTTCAGCCATGGTAACTAGCCATGGTAACTAGCACTACATTACTTTATCAGCCATGGTAACTAGCTATGGTAACTCCAGCCATGGTAACTAGACTACATTACTTTATCAGCCATGGTAACTAGCCATGGTAACTAGCACTACATTACTTTATCAGCCATGGTAACTAGCCATGGTAACTAGCCATGGTAACTAGACTACATTACTTTATCAACCATGGTAACTAGCCATGGTAACTCCAGCCACGGTAACTAGCCATGGTAACTAGCACTACATTACTTTATCAGCCATGGTAACTAGCTATGGTAACTCCAGCCATGGTAACTAGACTACATTACTTTATCAGCCATGGTAACTAGCCATGGTAACTAGCACTACATTACTTTATCAGCCATGGTAACTAGCTATGGTAACTCCAGCCATGGTAACTAGACTACATTACTTTATCAGCCATGGTAACTAGCCATGGTAACTAGCACTACATTACTTTATCAGCCATGGTAACTAGTCATAGTAACTAGCTATGGTAACTAGCACTACATTACTTTATCAGCCATGGTAACTAGCCATGGTAACTAGCCATGGTAACTAGCTATGATAACTCCAGCCATGGTAACTAGCACTACATTACTTTTTCAGCCATGGTAACTAGCCATAGTAACTAGTACTACATTACTTTATCAGCCATGGTAACTAGCCATGGTAACTAGCTATGGTAACTCCAGCCTTGGTAACTAGCACTACATTACTTTATCAGCCATGGTAACTAGCCATGGTAACTAGCACTACATTACTTTATCAGCCATGGTAACTAGCCATGGTAACTAGCCATGGTAACTAGCTATGATAACTCCAGCCATGGTAACTAGCACTACATTACTTTTTCAGCCATGGTAACTAGCCATGGTAACTAGCACTACATTACTTTATCAGCCATGGTAACTAGCCATGGTAACTAGCTATGGTAACTCCAGCCTTGGTAACTAGCACTACATTACTTTATTACTTTTTTATCCCGTTTTACCGACCATCAAAACCTTGGTGATCCCAATTTCATGTAGCTGTCAAGTAACTTCACATTACCTGCACACCTGCAGCAGGTTGAAAAATAATGAATTAGTTGTGGTGGTAAACACGCGGTATTGTAGTCGTCATGGTAACCTGTTGTGAGAGTGCTGCACTGACAAGCTGCTGCTTCCTTCGTGGGAAGATGTTCGAGATCTCGCATTTTAACCAATCAGGGCTGATGATGAGGATCACGTTACTTACCGACAGCCAATCAGATGATTTGTTGGTCTTCTCTGATTTATTAGTACAGCTGGACTGGAGATAGTGCAGTTTGAATAGTTTCAATTAAGACAGCGGACGCTGAGTGCGAAAACTTGTGCACTGAGCTACTGTTGTCTCGTTGTTTTGACTCTGCAAAGCCATGGCTTTCTTGCACTTGACTAAGGTATGCATACCAGTCTCTTCCATACCTCTATAATTTCAATTTATTTTTCTACAAATTTTAACGCTTTCTTCAATGATCATCACTATGACACTATCAGTGCTGCAAAGGAAGTGTTAACTGACTTGCGTTCATATTGATTTTCAAATTGAATGAATTTCCGCTTCGCTATTCTTCGGGGCATTGAAATTGAAATAAATTTAAAGCTCCGTTGTGAGAAAAGCCTGGAGGGTGTACCCACTTATGTACATTATACATAAAAATATGCGCCTGCATGGTACATCATAATATCCTAAACCAATAAAGTCATAATGATTCCTGTGATACGAAAACTTTCTAAAAGTTGATGGCATGCATTCAATGCTCTTTCCAGTAAATTTGAATTTGGGACGTTGGGAGGTCGATTTGTTACCAACTCTTGTTTAGTTACGGTCATATTGGCTGATTAAAATTAAGTATGCTTGCTGTCATACCCATATTACTCAAGCAGTCACAACTCAGAACTTGTTATAATCCCCCTTCTGGTATGCTAATTTACAGAGTGGATGAAAAGTGATGAGCGCTGTTCTTTTAAATCAACCAAGATCAAAAGATTGTGTGGGGTCATTAATCATAACATTCAATCGTTATCAATTCTCAATTAAAAGATTTTGAATGATGGCCCTACATCGCTCCGTTAAAGTTTATGAACCCTATATCTGCAGGCGTTGTCTCCGTTAAAGTTTATGAACCCTATATCTGCAGGCGTTGTCTCCGTTAAAGTTAATGAACCCTATATCTGCAGGCGTTGTCCCACATCGCTCCGTTAAAGTTTATGAACCCTATATCTGCAGGCCCTGTCTCCGTTAAAGTTTATGAACCCTATATCTGCAGGCGTTGTCTCCGTTAAAGTTTATGAACCCTATATCTGCAGGCGTTGTTAAAGTCTATGAACCCTATATCTGCAGGCGTTGTCCCACGCTTACACGACAGCGGAGGAGGACCCTGACATGCAGTTTCAACAGCTGAGTTTGAACCTACAACCGGTTCACAAGGATCCGAGACATAAGGCTCTTGTTAAGATTGAGAACTGTAAACTTCTGGTAAGATATTTATTGTCGGCACTTTTACAGCACTTTTACAGCACTTTTACAGCATGTTTACAGCATGTTTACAGCATGTTTACAGCATGTTTACAGCATGTTTACTGCATGTTTACAGCATGTTTACAGCATGTTTACTGCATGTTTACATCATGTTTACAGCATGGACATTAGTATTTTTAGAAGACACTTAGGTGACATCCTTTTTTTTATTAGTTCTCATAAAGCATAGTTTTATCAAGCGTGTAAAAACTGAACAGTCATATAGCTGCAACAAATTAAAAATATAATCAACAAATTCACTAAATCACGATTTTACTAGATTAGAAGAAACAGGAATAGAAGTTTATAAGCTGAATTTAAAAGAAATATTTACGAGTATATTTACCAATTCAATACAAAATTTAAACAAAAAGAATCATTTAAAAAGCTAACTTTTCTACTTGAACGATCAACTGATTTTTTAACACGGAGAAGGTTCTGGAGCCACATAATTGCTGCTGTTTAAGAAAAGCTTATTATTTGGTCGTCTCCAGACTCTTTTTGATATCCAGCACGTACCTGACCGCCGTACTGTTGTTCTCCTGAAGCTCAGTGTAAATTTTATCCAGCTGCCCTGCTTCTACAAGCTCTATGTCCGGGTATATCTCGTTTTTAAAGCAGAAATCCACCACCTCCTGCGTGGCGGGGATTCCGCCGATCAGAGAACCAGCAATGGATATCCTCTTCAATATTAGCATAAACTGATTGTATTGCATGGGCGCTGCAATGCAGCCCAGTTGGACGAGAGTACCGTCAGTCTTCAGCATGGAGATGTAAGGAGCTATGTCGTGTGGAGCGGAGACAGTGTTAATGATCAGGTCTAACTTTCCTCGCTCCCTCCCCACTGAGTCAGCATCTTTGGACACAACATAATCCGCCGCTCCTTTAGATTTTGCTATATCGATCTTCTTGTCGCTGCTGGAAATGGCCACAACTCGGTGTCCCAGAGCGGCCGCTAACTTGATGCCCATTGTGCCCAGTCCCCCGATCCCGACTATCCCGATATTCAGCTTCTTTTCCGTGTTTGTTGCTCCCCAGTGGTTCAGTGGAGACCACATTGTGATCCCTGCACACAGGATAGGTCCTGCCTTTTCCAGTGGCATCCCCTCTGGTATCTTGATTATGAAGTGTTCGTGGACCACGTCAAACTCAGAGTAACCTCCCCAGTTCTGTACCTCCGGGTTTCCTCCTATGTGGCAGTTTTCCTACGATATATGAACATAACAAAGATATCATAAATTTGTATTGCGCTCAAGAATAATTTAAAGAAAAGTTTCAATTGGACATTTTTGTAACACAAAAAAGAAAAACCCACCTTCTTCTTAGGAGTATTGTAAGTGTGTGTAAAGCCATTAACACAGTAGCACTCCTCACCCTTGTGGCACACCTCACAAATCAGACAGCTATCCCTGATGCAACCCACCCCCACATTGTCCCCCACCTTTACTCGGCTCACTTTCTCTCCCACCTCCACCACTGTCCCCACTAACTCGTGACCCGGTACAATTGGGTACGTTGATCCTGGCAAGTAATAGTGGGTTAAGAACTTGTTGGAACACGGTAAGTAGTAGTGGGTTAAGAACTTGTTGGAACACGGTAAGTAGTAGTGGGTTAAGAACTTGTTGGAACACGGTAAGTAGTAGTGGGTTAAGAACTTGTTGGAACACGGTAAGTAGTAGTGGGTTAAGAACTTGTTGGAACACGGTAAGTAGTAGTGGGTTAAGAACTTGTTGGAACACGGTAAGTAGTAGTGGGTTAAGAACTTGTTGGAACACGGTAAGTAGTAGTGGGTTAAGAACTTGTTGGAACACGGTAAGTAGTAGTGGGTTAAGAACTTGTTGGAACACGGTAAGTAGTAGTGGGTTAAGAACTTGTTGGAACACGGTAAGTAGTAGTGGGTTAAGAACTTGTTGGAACACGGTAAGTAGTAGTGGGTTAAGAACTTGTTGGAACACGGTAAGTAGTAGTGGGTTAAGAACTTGTTGGAACACGGTAAGTAGTAGTGGGTTAAGAACTTGTCGGAACACGGTAAGTAGTAGTGGGTTAAGAACTTGTTGGAACACGGTAAGTAGTAGTGGGTTAAGAACTTGTTGGAACACGGTAAGTAGTAGTGGGTTAAGAACTTGTTGGAACACGGTAAGTAGTAGTGGGTTAAGAACTTGTTGGAACACGGTAAGTAGTAGTGGGTTAAGAACTTGTTGGAACACGGTAAGTAGTAGTGGGTTAAGAACTTGTTGGAACACGGTAAGTAGTAGTGGGTTAAGAACTTGTTGGAACACGGTAAGTAGTAGTGGGTTAGGAACTTGTTGGAACACGGTAAGTAGTAGTGGGTTAAGAACTTGTTGGAACACGGTAAGTAGTAGTGGGTTAAGAACTTGTTGGAACACGGTAAGTAGTAGTGGGTTAAGAACTTGTTGGAACACGGTAAGTAGTAGTGGGTTAAGAACTTGTTGGAACACGGTAAGTAGTAGTGGGTTAAGAACTTGTTGGAACACGGTAAGTAGTAGTGGGTTAAGAACTTGTTGGAACATGGCACACAACACGGTTCACAAAATCTATATTTAATTGCCATAAAGATAACAATCATCAATCATCTTACCCCATTTTTCAGACATCTCATTGAGCACATTGTGGACATCAGAATGACAAATTCCACAGAACTTTAGCTCGAACTTGACATCGTGTTTGCCTACTTGAGGCCGGTAGATAGTTAACTGTTTGAAACTCTCCCCACACTGGTCCACACCCCACGCAGTGACCGGGTACTCAGTGTCCAGGGGCGCCGGGATCGGCTTTTGGACTGCTATGTCAGGATTACTGAACTTCATGCTTTCGTGCTATGTGGCGGCTGACAGGGGTTTGATTCTACTATCGTTCAGAATATAAAATAACCATATAGTTAAGAATCAAATGAAAAAACTACTGATCCGAGTGTGAAATATTCGGTTTAATCTACCGTAACAAATCTACCGGGAGTATGCTTTGATCTGAGTGGCATTCTCCCTATGGCTTAGACACTAAACAGGATTCAACAGGAATAAGTATAAATTTGTCAATGAGAGTCTTGACTATAATACATCAATTCAAAATAAATAAAAACTATGGCATATTATAGGTTATATAACTATGACAACAAGGCTTCGTCCTCTGGGAGCATATATCTGAACTTGGCCCAGAACATAGTTCAGTTATAAAGCTCATCCTTGCATCAGAGGGACCCCATCAAACATCAGTTCTTAAACCTATGGTTAACTTAGCCTCCTTACCTGTCTACGTGGTAGAGTGGGAGTCTCACAAACAAACGATATACCGTATTAGAAATCGGAGAAAATTATGAAAATTTTAACGTTGCTGTCTCTGCATATTCCTATCAAATTGTTGCTAGACGTTATTTGATATCCACGATAATGATCTACTTCCGTGCCAATGGCGACGCCCGCGACTAGTACTACCAAGAATAAATGAGATAATGCGCATAAATCTTTCTTAATTTTAATTTGCACTGCCCAACGTAAAAGATCGTAATCTTTGTATTCAAACTCTATATTATAAATTGTTCGCCATGATTACAAAGTTTAGGCTAAAATGGAGCGAAGTCGATGGAAAATGCTTGGTCGAGTTGCATCTGATATCCTTTCTGTTATCCATAAGATATATATAAGATAGGAGACTATATTTTGTTAAAGGTGAACACAATCTTACTATATATAAAGCGAGACGATATATATATATATATCCGTGCCATTTTACTGACACCACGGCATCAACTTTAACGCGACTTTCCGCAAAAACCGCAAAAGATATACAACTGAAACTTTTTTGACTGGATCAAATGCTTTAATGGCCTTCAAATCAGCATGTAAAAATAAAAAATTGGCCAAGGAATAGTGATTTTAGAGCCCAAAATTTGGACCCCCAAGTGGTGTCAAAAACGCGAATTAAATAGGTAATAATTATTTTAGTCTCTTGAGTCTATACACCATTTAGGGTTATACTTATATTATACGGGTTCCTGCTAGTATGTCTAACGTTTAAGATGATGAAATTAAAATATCATAGAATTTAAGCCCCTATTTTTTGAGAAATATAGAAGTTCCAGGAAGTTCAAAAATTTATCCTAGCATTTAGACATGAGAGAAAAGGTTAAAATTTCTAGTTAACACTAAGGATCGATCTTCTGGATCACCTCCATCTAAGGGGGAACTTAGTAACGACGAGAGTGATGACGATAAGTGCCGAACTCAGCAGCGATAAGAGATATGATATGGCACAGATCATTCAGTGATAAAATAGAAAGCTTACATACCAAGCTTACAAATAACAAAAATGTTAGCTTGGTTAGCTTACTTTCTTGACGAGCACATTTTCATCACACACAGAAAAGAAAGGCGCAGTTTTCTTTCTGAAAATGAAATGGACGATTAGTATCGCACAGCCTTAACAAAAGAATTCCAGCATCAACCTTCGCAATTTTCTGGAATTTAAACATGATTCTATTAATATGCATGTTTAATTTATTGTATTCGTGAATGTTTGTGAAAGTAAGAAGTAACACCATGTTACCAACATGAGGATAAAGAATAACGATAAAGCAACACAAGTTTAAAATCTCACTATTTCAGAAGGGAGGAACGAGAAGGCCAGTAAATCTGAATATTACCAGCAACACTATTCAAGGGCAGATTTTCAGGAAGGTAAGTCGTACCACAAATCTCACCATTTGAAGTTTGGGAACAATGAACATTTAAAAATTCAACGTCGATTACAACGATCACTTTTGTTGAGTCCAAAAATTTCACCTGACCGATGCGTCAAAATCTTGATGTTTAGTTTATACTGTTAAAGCTTAAGAGTCAAAACATTTATTTATTAATTATCATAATGTTAAACAGTACGACAGCCTCACTGTGGGCATTAAACTTAAAAGTAAAACATTTCTGGAATAATACGTGATAAAAAGTTATTAAACTAGCTTTTTATCCTGTAACATAATTACAACCGAATAATTATAACCGAAGAAACATTTGTTCGCAGTTTGGTTCTGACACGGCCCCTCTGAGACGAGTAATGCAGCACTACGACACTCAGCGAGACGGCCATATCAACATCGGCACTTTCCGGGACTTGCTCTCCCAATTCAACATCAAGTCAGTACCTTTTCAGCTTCCCTGATCTTATCAGTATCACACATGCACACATATACAAACAAACAACCTTAATGCACCGCTGATCCTAACGGAATAGTTTACTACACTTATCAACATCTCACCACAAACTGTAAAATGGATCGCGGAATCTTTGAAGTTGGAATAGTATAGTGTTGTGGAATAATTGAGACACTTTCTCTTTGATTTGCTATCTAAAGCACCAATATTGTCTGAAACGCTTGAACACCTGCATAAAATAATATTTTCTATTTGGTCTTGCTGACTGTCATCGATTTTCAGTGCATTTTCGAGAAATCAACCGTCAGAAAAGAGAATAACAGAATGATTTATCGCTGAGTTTATGATCATAAAACCTGCCACATCTGCTCATAATCAGTCATTATAACCGATTTTCTGCAATTTTCTGGTTTCTCTGTTCAAACTCAAGGATGTCTGATATCACATGACTAGTCACGTGAGATGGTACACTTTTCTTTCTAGACGAGGATATTAGGGTACCATGGCACCCTCGTTTAGAATGGGTCTCAATCGCTTTCTCAAAAATCTTGTTTGCGCTTCTATTTATATTGTGGCTTTGTTGTTCCCTTTTTGTTTTCTAATCTGATAAGAGGATTTGTACCGTAAATTGTACAACAATCGCATAAATTATGACTTTTGACACTCCCTATTTGCAGGGTGGATGACTTTTGACACTCCCTATTTGCAGGGTGGATGACTTTTGACACTCCCTATTTGCAGGGTGGATGACTTTTGACACTCCCTATTTGCAGGGTGGATGACTTTTGACACTCCCTATTTGCAGGGTGGATGACTTTTGACACTCCCTATTTGCAGGGTGGATGACTTTTGACACTCCCTATTTGCAGGGTGGATGAGAACGATTTCTACCACGTGATCAACACATACGACACTGGTTTTAAGGGAGTTATACCTTACAGAAAGTTCCTCACAAAACCAGCCTACTAAGCAGCACTCACAGCTTCTGTTTGTCAGACATTATTCCCATATTGTGCAATTGCTAGTAACATGTGCTAGTAACCTGTAACACGTGCTAGTAATAATATGACAAGTTTTACGTCCGCGCCCCGCGGTCGTTTGGGCTAGTTGAGCGATCGCAGCAGTGTTGCTGAGCTGTAATCAATCTTTGTAATATAATCTGAATGATATGTTTAGATTTGTGCGTAGTCTGATTGACGAAAGATTGACGAGATGATTTTCATCAATCAGTGCAAGGCTGTTAGTCGTAGGAGTCTGCAAGGCCGTTTGCGTATGATATTAGTTCGATTGGATAGATTTTGTTTACCTTTATTATAATGTTTAGGAACCAATGTTTAGGTTTGTTATGCAGGTTTGTTATGTGGAGGGATATACATTTTCAATTTATTAATTCGCATTACCCTAATTACCCTAATTACCCTAATTGACCCCATATTCTTCACGAATTAAGTTTAATGAGTATTTTTTAAGACACTCACTCGTTTGAGTTCTGACATCCTAACATCTTAGATGTGTTCAAATAATATCATAGAGGAAAACGTTTGTGTTTAAAAGGGAATGCTACCGGTTCCGTCAAAATGGGGCCGTCAAAATGTTGTAGAAACTTTTCTATTTTAACTGCATATTATACCGAATACAGAATGGTATCTATGCAATACAAAAATAAGAATTTTATTCAAACACATTTGGACGGCCGTATTACGACGGTACCGTTAACATAACTGTAATATCTTTTTATAATTCCACTAGAGTTCTAGCTGAGATTGGTCGGTAAATCACAAATGATCAGAATATCATAGATCTGGATACTTCTTGGGGGTGAAACATATTTGTTTCAACATGCAGTGACAGTGATTCTAGGTTTTAATGGTCAGGACTGGAAAATGAAGGCTGGTTGGGTGACCGCTGTCAGGTAGAATATACTGATATACTGAACCAGTACATCCAGATCTGTATCTGCACTATACCCAGCCCCATCACGGTGGTGATCACAAATCAATCAGTCATACTTTATCAGCGTTGGGTCGCACATTATAGGTAGCGTGATGATTATATCTTTATATGAAAAGTTGTTGATGTTTTGAAATAGCTATTCTAAAACTTTAATCTGAAAATTAATTGTTTTGATTGTTATTCCAAATTGCTCCTTCTAAATCGCTCGCTCACAGAGACATGACAACGTTTAAGTGCTAAAAAGAAGAAGTTTAATCAAAAATAATGAAAAACACACAAAACAATTTCCCGCAGATGTATAATACAAGGCCTTTATAAAAATCATTGCGTGATGAGCTGATCTGCTGATAATGCGGAAAATTGGGATGAGGATGAATCGTGCGTAGCAGGATGATGATTAATCACTCTACAATCGACTGTCACGTGACTTTTTCAACCCGTCCTCTAGCTGGTTCTGAACGACTTTTTGAAACCCTAACCCTCTAATACGAGGTTGGCTACAACGTTTTTTCAAGTCAAGTTCTTAGATATGGTAATGTTTGCACTAGATTGGATATCTTTACCTCCCATCTTCACAAAATATTCAAAATTCTAATAGTAATTGATAGAGGATATAGCCGTGATAGACTGATTAAAGGCATTAAACGTTGTCTGAGGAAATATGATAACGTTTTCAGGAAGTTCGGTATTCTAGATGACCGTAACATTATTAAAGAACTCCCCTGATATCTTTTGATTTATTGAAACACGGGTACTAACTCTGCTAAACTGAACAAATTCTGAAACTTAGGTGAATAAGTGTACAACGTGCTAAACCGAAGTTCAGACTGACCAGTGAAAATGGGCGAGCGTACCAAGTGTCATTTTAATTAGAAGTTTTAGTCAGTGATTTATTATTGAAGCTTGTAATTACAATATCTAATGCTCCTATAAATACTTTAATTAATTGTTTGTCCCGTTATTCTTTTTCCTTCCTCTTTTCCTTGTCATCCCCTTTAGTTTTAAGATTCTTGCTATAAATGGCTACAGCTAACACTATTAATGCTAAGTACCAAACAACAAGTGGGAGGTGGATCGTTGGTACCATTAAATCGATTTAACACCGCAATTCCAGTCGCAAGCCTGGGACCACTACTAGCATAGTCACAACATCTACAAAGCTGCCATATAGCCTGACTGACAATTTTCTCGACTGACTGACAATGTTTCTCCTTTTTCCCCATTTAGAATACAAAGATTAGTACATTTTAGCTTATGATTAATATTATATTTTTACCTATAGTTTACTTAGATGACCCCAACCCTAACCCTAACCCAATCCTTAACAAAAAATATGCTCTAATCCTAACGAGAAATTAGACTAACTTCCTTATTATATAGTTATACGGTCATATCACGTGATCAAGACACTTTTTCGCCAATATCTCGTCAGGGGAGCATTTTTAATTTAACCCTATGTGAATGTCATGGGGGTGAATCAGCGTCCAAAAATACATCTAATTCTATTGAAGTTGGTTACAACAGTCGGGAATCGGGGGCCCTATTAGAACAATCTCGAAGATCGACTGTAGAGTGATTTAGCACGCTCGTGCGTAGCAACAAATGAATTGAGTAGAGGGATGATACTTTTATAAGTAACTGTTAGTCTATTATAACAATGGCAAGTTGACAACAAATGAATAACTCATCAAATTCAATGTTGACCGCACTCCCCAACAGATTAAAATTGAGTCCCTTTTCTTACTATCAGATTTTTAGTAATTGACAACAATTCAAGCTTGTAACAATGACAATTTGCTGAATTGGACTACAATCTATTGTAAGATTACCTGCTGAAACGGCGTCAATCGTTATCAGTTATGCCGAACGTAAAAGAGAAGGGTAGTCTAGCTCAATAAAATGATCACAACTTCTATGTGTGCAATTTTGGAATACATCTTGAATTGTTTAGAAACTATAATTATTGTGGATCATTGTCCTTGAACGTTCTTTGTTGTATTAAATTGAACGATCATGTGATTGTTAAGAGGCGTACTCGGGTTTCAGCACGACAACTTACTTAACGGCCTATTTAATGCTCCAATTTCCCATGACTTCTAGAGATTATTTATTTATTATATTTCATTAAATTTAGATGACATTAATTTAACTACGTATAATGGGCTCCTTTTAACTAGAGTATGGAAATTCAGGTTCCGATATTATGGAATACCTCCCGGTTTGAGACTCACTCAGGGCACAGTTCAAACCCAAACTCTCTTTGTACAGATACATTTTAGGACAGTAATTTCTATTGTAATTATGGACTTCAGAATTTTATGTGAATTTATATCTGGAAGATAACCAATTAAAACAAGCAAATAAGATGGTAAAATAATTGTATTAAATATGACCACAATATTGAATCAACTATCATAACGAAAGTCCGTTTACCCCAAGTAAGGTGGCAGCGGATGTGGTGAGGTGGAAAGCAATTAGTAAGGACGATCGGTTGATTGGATGATGTTTCACGAGGTCGCAGTGCCAGTTGTCTCTCTCTCTGAAGTAAACTTAGATCAATATAATGTTTCCAGACCGCATTAATTATAACGATGAACTTAATTAAGAATGTCGGGACACGGCCGCACGGATCAAACAATAATATGTAATACTAATAACTATCAACACTTAACAATACAATTACAATAACTCTATAGCGACTGACCGTGATAAGGCTCATGGTAGTCGGGTGCCGCGCGGACTTATCGCTCGGTCGATCGAGCGATAAGTAGCTCCTTATCGCTCGTGCGCGTCGTCACTTCAAGCACAATTGCGCGTCGTATCGTACTCGATGCTTGCCAAAAAGCTTTAATACTTTGGTTTTGGCGTGTTACATCTGAAGTCCAGAAGATGAATCCGAGATTGTGGAACCAGATGATACGGTTTTTGAGGCATTTTGATACGGTCATTTCAGTCTTTTAAAGTAGTTTCAGAGTGCTGGAAATGGTTGTACGGTGTAGGGGGATGTGTTTACTAACTATTTTGACGTCAAAATTGTCGCCAGAGGCTCCCTGAGTCATGGAATGAACGGAATGAACAAAAATGAAATTTTTTCTAAAACTCGTCGGATTGCCCCAAAACAGGTCGGAATCGTTTGGTATTGACCCTTATAGTGTTCCTACAAAGTTTGGTGGCCCTAGCACTCCCAGAACGCCCACTAGAGACTTAATTCCATTTCCGTATCAAAAAGCTGGTTTCTGAGTATCCGATATTGATACGGTCATTTCAGTCTGTTAAAGGGGCTGCAGAGTGCTGGAGATGATTGTACGGTGTAGGGGGATGTGTTTACTAACTATTTTGACGTCAAAATAGTCGCCCAAGACTCCCTGAGTCATGGAATGAACGGAATGAACAAAAATGAAATTTTTTCTAAAACTCGTCGGATTGCCCCAAAACAGGTCGGAATCGTTTGGTATTGACCCTTATAGTGTTCCTACAAAGTTTGGTGGCCCTAGCACTCCCAGAACGCCCACTAGAGACTTTATTCCATTTCCGTATCAAAAAGCTGGTTCCTGAGTATTAGGCTATCCATTATCGGTATGAAATCTTTTATCTAGATAAACAGATAAAGATTTAGGTTTTATCTAGATAAAACCGATAAAACCGATAATTTTTCTGCTGAAGGCTAAAGCCAAAATGTTTTCCAAATTTCACAAAAACTAATTGTCGACTTTTATTACTCTTTACCAGTAATCTTGCTAAAGTACCACTTCCTTTCTTTTGAAAATATTAGAGCATCAGTTTTCTTCTCCGGGGAGCAGAAGTGCACCAGTTTTCTTCAAAATAGTAGACCAACGGTTTTATTCTCCTAAGAACAGTAGTGTAACAGTTCTCTTCGAAACAGTAGACCAAGGCCAAGGGTTTCCTTCTCCTGAGAACAGTAGTACACCTGTTCTCTTCAAAACAGTAAACCAGTGACCACCGGTTTTCTTCTCCTGAGAACAGTAACGCACTAGTTCTCTTCAAAACAGTAGACCACCGGTTTTCTTCTCATGAGAACAGTAACGCACTAGTTCTCTTCAAAACAGTAGACCACCGGTTTTCTTCTCCTGAGAACAGTAAAGCACTAGTTCTCTTCAAAACAGTAGACCACCGGCTTTCTTCTCCTGAGAACAGTAGTGTACTTGTTCTCTTCAAAACAATAGACTGAGAAACAGTAAAGCATTTAAAGTGATTCAGTGAACCATTTTCTTATCCTGTTGATAACTTGGAGCAACAGATTCCTTCTCCTGAAGACAATGTTTCACGCCCAGAACACTTACGGAATTCAATTGAGTGCCCTGCAGGTATTTTTGACTCTTGTTAACAGTAACATGCTCGTGCCCGTCTCCAAAATGGTTGTAAGATAAAATGCCAGCATCTTCCTCAACAGAACAATGTCAATAACCTTCTCTGGATTTCTACAGTTCATACAGTTCTACTTCTACAGTTCCAGAGGTATACAAATGTAAATAAACCTCTTAAGCTCACGTTTAAATAAACTACCTCTTCTATCATACTAGAAGACGTTTGGGACTGTTTCTTGGATTACTTGGGAAGGCAGAAACACTAATATTTCTTTACAATTTTACAGTATTGTGGCAGTATTTTCGGTAATATCTAGTGAATTTTTATACCGATAAAAGTATGTTTTATCTAGATAAACAGATAACTTTTTTTAACGAATTATCGGAGATAATTATCGGTTACAATTATCGGAGTGGATAGCCTACTGAGTATCCGATATTGATACGGTCATTTCAGTCTGTTAAAGGGGCTGCAGAGTGCTGGAGATGATTGTACGGTGTAGGGGGATGTGTTTACTAACTATTTTGACGTCAAAATAGTCGCCCAAGACTCCCTGAGTCATGGAATGAACGAAATGAACAAAAATGAACATTTTTCTAAAACTCGTCGGATGGCCCCAAAACAGGTAGGAATCGTTTGGTATTGACCATAATAGTGTTCCCACAAAGTTTGGTGGCCCTAGCACTCCCAGAACACCCATTATACCCTTGGCTGGATTCAAGAATTTAGAACCAGTTGAGCAGATAAAACGGATTTTGAGAAATTTTGTCTGCTTGTGTTGTTGCAGAGAGTTGAATTTGGTTCAACAGTATTCAAACAAGATGTGTTCCAACTT